AAAGCATTCTTAGGTTTTTCTATTAGGATCTTCACAACTGTACATAGTTTTGCCATAATTCTTTGAATTTTTTACAATATTTGAATTGACATTCAACTTTATTATTTCATTTATTTGCATAGAACATTCTGCTTTTCTGTTACAGAACTTAAAAAAATCACCCAAGCACACAAATAATTAATACATTATTTTAATTGTTGAAAAGAGCTAAATACAACTTTATGTAAAAATCAATAAATCATGTGAAACATTCGTGAATTCCCTACACTGTATTATATGTCTAATACTGCTTTGGAATAATGGGAGTTATAAAAAATGTATAAGACATAATTCACAGATCTATAGCACCTACTGAGTTATTAGGGAGAAGAAAAGCATATGCTTTCAATATGAATAAGAGAGAAGAGCACGGAATTCAATTAATTCTCTCTCTCTGTGTGTGTGTGTGTGTGTGTGTGTGTAATTGCACTCATAAAACTGATTCAATAAGAGATTATTAAATTTTTTGGAGTATAATATCATGCATTAATCTCAGTTTCAAATATGTGAATGTTCCCACTTTACCAGAAAGAAAACAACTTCAACTGTTCTGTCATTAGCACATTTGAATACTTGTCTGAGTAGCAAATATGTGATGGTAACCATTTATTTTGTTCTTGCAATTGCATTTAATAGCTGCATTTTGGGCTTATCTCAAGATCTTTGATATTTAAATAAAACATACTTTTAAAAAATGTCTCAGAATATAATTTTTACATTTATAAAAATAATATAATTTTCACATTTTATCAATGTGAAATCAGAGGCATCTACTGAACGATTGAGAGGACCTGAAGCCTTATGATTCGTTCCAGTCTCAGGAGACAAGAAAGTATGCCAATGATGAAACTATGGACATTGGAGATTCACATCTGCATAATGAACTGCAGCCTGTGTCATCAGTGAAAAGGAACTATACATAAAAAGGACTTACTGTTGGGTAAAAAGGAACTTACCAAACGGTAAGTCCCTTAGCAATCATGAAATCCTGGTTGTCTGCACTAGGTGCTGTGCTTACTTTAGACTCTGCTTGGTTGTGAGTATGTTTAGGAAATGGTAGGGTAAGTTTCTTTTACACTACTGTTATTTCCTGTTACCTCCTTGCACTAGAATAATCTGTTAATGCCTGTATGATCTTAGCATTGCTGCTGAACAGCCAGAAAACAATTTCTTAAATTGTAGTTTGTTTATTTTTCAATGGTCTTCTCATTTCATAGAAATGGGCGATATTTGCGTAATACTCTATAACTAATATTTTCATGTGTGTATATGTTTATGGTATTTAATATTTGATTTATATAATAATTTAGAGTTACTTGTGTAATTATGGGAAGCGCTTTGAATTGCAATGCATGCTAACTATATGACAAGGAAAGAACGTCTTATTATACACAATGGTCTTTGGAAATCACTTAGATGTAATTTTCTTTTATGATATCAGTATAACATTGTAAGAATTATTTTGTTTTCCCTGATCTTTTTTACTACATATCCTGTTTAACAAAACCAGGACATGCACACAGACACTTTATTCCCAGAGCCCAGAACTTTTTTTTTACTATAACAAATGGTTAATTCTTTCCATTACAATTTTAGAGTGCCTGCATAAGATAGTCTTCAAAAAGATCATTTTTGGATGGTGTGTTCTTACAATTTTGTTACTGTTGTTTGTCAGATTTTCATTTGTTTTGCATATTTGACTTTTTGCCATTTTTGTCTTTGGTTTTTATACATAAACCATTCAGTGATTACTGTTTTAAAAGTATAAGTGCATGTATATTCTTAATGTATATCATGAATTTACACATGTAATATGTTTCATATAGCATTTAATCAGTTAAATACTTGTTTCTATACAACATTCTATAATAACATGAACAGTACATGAAATATAATATTTACATACATTATTTATAATAAATTTATCTATAAATATTTTGTCATCATAATTATATTTTATGGGCCAACCTCATTGAGAACATACAGTGACTTATTTCAGGTTTGGTTAACAAAATTATAGTACAAAATTTTCTTTTGAAAATCCTTTACTCCTTTAATAGATATTTGGTTGGATTCCCTTTTTAATATAATAAAAAATACTTTTAACTTTGTGATTTCTGTCACCAACCTTATCTCCAATTGTCTTATTGATCAATAATCATTGCATATTTTCAAATGTTTCTTTGGAGTCATGAATTAAAAATAAATTACTATGAAGCGATCACACATTTTTAAACAAAGATCCAGATTTTGTCATAACACTTATTAGATCATCTCCAAATGTATATCCTTTCAGGTTCAAGATTTTGACATCTTATAATCAAATACCAAATTCCAACCCAGTTTGTATATTTCCCAATGTAATATATCTAATTTTTTTTAATTTTTGCCGAACACATTCTCTTATGTCTCCTACATCTTGGAAAATAACATCTTCATTCAAAAAGCACAAACACAATCACAATCACACACACACACACACACACACACACACACACACACATCCTTAGAGTAATATTTTATTTCATGTTCAACTCTCCATTTTTTTGGTTCCTACCTCAAAATTGTTACTGAATGGAGTCACTTCTTATAGTTTTTCCTGCTGCCACAAGGCATAGTCATCTCTCTCATGGATAATTGAAATAGCCTCGTAAATAGCTTCCCTGCTTCTGCTCTTGCCTTGCTGAGATTTATTCTCAGAGTGTATAAAAACATAAGTCAAATACGTGGATCCTATTACACGCTGAAATGCTATATTATAGAGTACATGTGCAAAACAGCTTCCCATCTCACTGAGAAAGCATCCAAACCTCAAACAAGGCAAGGTGTGATAATTACAGCATCTCTTATTCCCCACTGACCACCCTCCATCTTGTTCTCTGCAGTTCAGTCAATTTCCTGAAGTTTCTTATTCCACATGATCCCACCTCAGGATTTTGAACTTGCTGTGCCCTCTTCCTGGAAAAGTCTTTCTGTAGACAGCCACATATTGAGTTACACTTACATCAGGTTTCTGTTCAGATTCCCCTGTGATATTCAAATCCTAATCCTATACCTGTGAATGTTACCTTCTATCACAGAAAATACTTCTCCCAGAGATGAGTCAGTCAACGGTTTTGAGGAAGGGAGATTACTCTGGATTGTCTGGGTAAATACTAAATGTGAGAGGGAGGCAAAGGGAGATTTTCCTACGGAAGAAGAAAGCAGTGCAATGACTGATGAAAAGTGCTATGCTGCTGTCTTTGATAACAGAAGGGACCAAAACAATGCTGTTCACGAAGCTTGAAAAGGCAGTAAAACCAAGTCTCTCCTATTGCCTTCAGAAGAAGTGTGGCCCCACACACAACTTGAGTTTGACTCAGCAAACCAATTTCCGGCTTCTCACTTCCAAACTGTAAGATAATAAATTATTGTTTTAAGCCTCTGATTTGAGAGCAACTTGTTACAGCAGGAATAGAAAACATATACACTATGTAATAGAGTACCTACGATCTCTTTCTATTCACCTTTGCTTATTTATTTTTCTTCATAGTTCTTTACATTTTATACAGTATATCAATACATGTCTATTTTCTTAACTGAATGTGAGCTCCTTGAAGGCATGACATTTGTCTTTTTCACTGTTCCATCTCTAGCAAGTATAATATTTCTTGGCACAGAGTAGAAATACCTATTTATTGAACGCATGAATGTATATGTGAATGAATTGATTTGTTGATATTTCATTATAAATGCTATTGAATAGGCTGGGCATGGTGGCACATGCCTGGTAAATCCAGCACTTCGGGAGGCTGAGGTAGACAGATCACGAAGTCAGGAGTTTGAGACCAGCCTGGCCAGCATAGTGAAACCTTATCTCTACTAAAAATACAAAAATTAGCCAGGCATGGTGGCACGTGCCTGTAGTACCAGCTCTTTGGGAGACTGAGGCAGGAGAATTGCTTGAACCCGAGAGGCAGAGATTTCAGTGAGTCGAGATCACACCACTGCACTCCAACCTGGATGACAGCGTGAGACTTTGTCTCAAAAAAAATAATAATAATAAATGTTATTGAATTAGTAACATATTATGTCAAAAACATGTGAAACTAAGTAGCAGTATATGATTCTGCAAGCAAGAAACATCCAACAGACATCGTTTTGATGCCTCAAAATACACCTCGACTCTTTACAATGGATGTTCAGGTTTGTTTCAATGGGGATAAAAAACAAAGATGCAAAAACAAAGTTACACAAAGATGAAAAAGAAAGGGTTGTAAAGTTAAATAACACAGCTCATTTTGATCAGCCTTAATACTAAATAGCAAATAAAAGAAATGATCTGCCTTTTTCTCCCAACTCGATTCTACCAGAGGGCTCAATCAGTTGATCTTTCATGTTGGCAGTCTGGGCAGAAGGTGAGGCAAAAAGAGGTCTAAGGTTGAGATTTGGAAAGAAATGGGGTTGTGTAGGATGAAACTCATTTTCATGAGCTTAAATGAGTGTAAAATAATAGGGACAGGTTAGTTACAGAAAAAGAAAGATTTGTTGTCACTGGATGCTCCTGTTTGTAACCCATGTTAGCAGAAGTCTTACATATATCATAGGATGAATGGGCATTCTACTCATTCTACTTGAGATTTGGTACCAGTCACATCTGGATTTAAATGTTAAATTCTACCCTTAATAGTTGTGTAATATAAGAGTTTTCCTAACCTTCTCCCACTTTTTATGATGTGAAAACTAAAAACCATGGGATAAAACATTCTCTAGTACCAAAAATTTGAATCATTATATACAGATTGTCTAACACATACATGAGCCACTTCTAAAGTAAATGTCCTTTCTTTATTTAACTATAGGGTAGCCCTAAATGTTCCATGCTGTTCTGGACACCGGATCATGAAGGAATCACTTCTTTTCCATCAGAGTAGTAGTTCTGCTACTAAGGAACTATATATACCTGAATAAAAATGAGAGGCTGGAATCATACAGGTGTGAAGGAATTCCTCCTGGTAGGGTTAACTGAAAATCCTAATTTGCAGATCCCACTCTTCTTGCTTTTCACTCTTATTTATTTCATCACTTTGGTGGGTAATCTGGGCATAATTATCTTGATCTGGTTAAATGCCCAACTTCATACTCCAATGTACTTCTTCCTTGGCAACCTCTCCTTTTGTGATATCTGCTACTCTACTGTCTTTGCTCCTAAGATGCTAGTCAATTTCCTAACAAAACATAAGTCCAGTACATTTTCTGGCTGTGTTCTACAGAGCTTCTCTTTTGCAGTATATGTAACCACAGAGGGCATTCTCCTCTCCATGATGGCTTATGACCGTTATGTGGCGATAGCTAATCCCTTGTTGTATACAGTCATTATGACCCAAAGAGTTTGTATACAGATGGTCCTTGCATCTTACTTAGGTGGGCTCATTAATTCCCTGACACACACAATAGGATTGCTGAAATTAGACTTCTGTGGTCCTAATATTGTGAATAATTATTTCTGTGACGTTCCTCCTCTTCTGAGACTTTCTTGCTCTGATACCCGTATCAATGAAATGCTGCTTTTGATCTTCTCTGGGCTCATTGCAATGTTCACTTTCATTGTCATTATGGTATCTTATGTTCGCATCATCATTGCCATCCAGAGAATCCACTCAGCTGGAGGAAGTTTCAAAGCCTTTTCCACTTGTGCTTCACACCTGGCCACTGTGACCTTATTCTATGGGTCTGTGACTTTCAGTTACATCCAACCCAGTGCTCAGTATTCCCTGGAACAGGAGAAGGTCTCGGCTGTGTTTTACACATTGGTGATCCCCATGCTAAACCCACTTATTTATAGCCTGAGAAACAAGGATGTAAAAGATGCAGCAAAAAGGTCGTTATGGTGGAATAGAAACCCCACTTGACTGAGTCCCGAATGTGGCTTTGTTAACCCAATATTTACTTGCAAATATATGACCTTTCTTTAAAATTATATCAAACAATTATAAATAAAACTATACTTAAGACACTCTTGTGCAATTTGGATCAGGAATTATGAGTTTGACTTAAAGACTGAAAATTACTTTATATCACAATTTATTGTGTTGATGATTTAATAATTGCATTATTTCAAAAGATGAGAAAAATTTTTTCTAACAAATATTCATGCTGAACTCTGAAAGAGCTCATGTATTTGAAGAAGGTGGCATTGATTCAAATCAAAGTAATACTCTATCAATAGATGTTTATCAATGTGTCTTGGATAAAAATTTTCGAAGAAAAATTCAAATGTTCCTGTGGCATAACTTTCTTAGATTATACTATTATGTCTTATCCTAAAATAGTTGTCATACAACTAAAAACTTATATCTTACATTTTGTATTTAATTTTCATTTCTTAATAACATCTAATAAAAAATGGCTATAGGAAATGAATTCTTTTCTATAGTCATTTATTATTATTGCAGTTTACCCTAAACTATAGTATTTATAGTTTATTCTTATTATTATTTGTAGTTTACTCATTCAACACATTTCTACTGTGCCAGTCACTTTGTATGTGTGATATAAACCTAGAAACATTTAAACTATAAACAAAAAGCTGTTAGAGGAAAGATGAACGGATAAATCTGGTAAAAGGGAGAGATTATTTAAAGATGAGAAAGTATACAAGTTTGGCTCTAGCATGGAATTTTTAAGCAAAAGCAATAGACAATAAGCTTGGCAAATTATATAGAACCAGATGTATGAAAGTCCTTTATAGATAAGATAACATGGTTTAAGACTCAATGGCTAATAAATGAAGCTCTAAATGAAATGTGAATTATACGCTTTAGGAAAGTTTCCATTATTCCATTTTTATCAAAATATTGGAGAGTAAAATAACAAGTTGGGAAAAATATTATGAGGCAGATAAGAAGTGATACAGGTGAGTAACAGAGAATGAGACACATTCAAGGGAAGTTAATGAAATTCATCAAAAGGACTTCAGAAATCATTAGGCTTGTGGTTTTTGTTTCGACTTTGAGAGAGAAGAGTTCACAATGACACAGGTTTTGAACTTGTGTCACTAATATTTTAAAATTTTTAGGAGATAAAAAATATGAAGTAATAATCTAAGTGTCATTCAAATTTCTAATGGAAGAACTTTCTGGAAAGAGGGTATAGCCAAGAACAAATCCCAAGAAGTACGAACTATCATGGATTGCTTGTAAAACAGCAAAAAGGTCAGAACTGGAATAAACAGAGGAAGGAGAAAAAAGTTAGAATAGTAGAACAGATCATGTTGGATATAGTATGTGTAGGGACTTTGAGTCTGAGCAAAGACAAAGGCAACTGACCCAACTTATATAGTACAAAGGTCACTCAGGTTATTGTATTAATAAATAAGCTATAGAATGGCAGGCAAGAATGTAAGACACAAGCCGAGGCAGGAAGCTGCACAATAATTTGGCTGAGAGTTGATGACATGCTAGACAAGAGCTGTCACAGTAAAACTTGGGAAAAACACAAATACAGGATATATTTTAGTGCAAGATCTGGCAAAAGAATGAATGAAACAGAAGAGCTAAAGATAACTCTAAAATTTTTTCAACAGACAAGCAGACACAAGAGAATAACAACATCCGAAATGTACAAAATGTGTATTCTTTTTCAAGCACGTATATAGTATTTACAAAGTTGAGCATACAATGGGATCAAGAAAAAGTCTCAAAACACATCAGAGGATGGTGTGTACACAATCTACAACTGTGGGCAAGATACTTTAAGTTCCTACACCTAATTTTTCACCTGGAGAAGGAAATAGTCATATCACTACAAAATTTTATAGATAGAAGTATAGGTTGGATGAATAGCTAGACTGAGAGACAGAGGGCTTTTATTTTAACTTGTATTTTAAGTTCAGGGCATATGCAGGCTTGTTACATAGGCGAACTTGTGTCATGGTGGCTTGTTGTAAAAATTATTACATCACCCAGGCGTTAAGCCTAGTACACATCAGTTATTTTTCCTGATCTTCTCTCTCTTCCCACCCTCCACCTTCTGATAGGCCCCAGTGTGGGTTGTTCCTCTCTATGTGTCCATGTGTACTCAGATAGACAGAGTTTAATGTGATTTTAGAATATATTAGGAGCTAAAAATCTACCAGGTCAGAAAAATATGAATAGATTCATTATTGCGTCAAGTTCAAGGAACTTATACATTTATATAAAACAAGAATCAAAAGTTGCAAAATGCAATTAAGCAGTACAGCACACTGAGGAGCAGAGCTTGCAAACTACTGTGAGAAGATTGAGGTGTCAGCTTATATATGATTTAACTTTGGGAAAACATAAATACATACTTTACATTAGAAAATAGTATATCATTATGTAAAATCAATATATGTATATATGTATGTATACATTTATTGGGATTGAAGTTGAGAGAAAAGTTGAGAGATCAATGAAATAAATGTAGCTATTACAGCTGGTATTTATAGTTAAGCAGTACATGACTGTTTATTCTTGCAAACTTGTATTACTTTTGAATTGCTTCTGTAGATTTGAAATGTTTCAAAATAAAAAAGTTAGAAAAACACGGGGGAAAAGTGCAAAATGACAAGAACACCTTTACTTCTGGATGAATGAAGTTGCTTCTGGGCAAAATGGCATTTCTGCAAAAATAAAAGCAAGGTAAGAAATAACCTCTTGAGAAAGAATAAATAGGTGGCGGGAGGTGAACAAAAAAAAAAAGAAAAAAATCAGAAAGAATAAATAACTATTAAGGAGAACTAGAGTAGCTGTGGATTCAGAGAGATGTAAACTTGGAGAAGCAAGACGATTTTTATTGCCCCAATTCAGGGCACACTTGAATATTCAGAGTTGGTAGACACTTCATAGATTCCACCCTAAATGATTGTATTTCCCCTCAGGACATTAGTCAAATTCTGGCACTGAACAGGTCTGGAGGGTGTTTTCATAGTCAAATGATAGACGAGAAGAAAGTGAGAGCCTGAGAGAGGGGGAAGAAGGGGATAGATAGATGAATAAATGAATGAATGAATGAGAAAGAAAGAGAGAATGATAGAAGACAGACTTAAGTGAAGAACTTCTCAAAAGTGGAGATCTTTTGATGATGTCCCAAACAATACAAATAATAAAGATTGTGACCCATCAAAGGAACTTATTCTGGACACATTCTGTGTGACTGTTCTGCTGCAAAGTGGAAACAGTGGAGTGGAGCTTTAGGCAGTTATGGAAACTGAAGAGATAAATATGATTATATAGGAGCTGAAACACAAAGCTGGTTTTCTCCACAAGAATTTGGGGTGAAGAAGTGTAAGAAGCTGGTCCTGGGCTACAAAGGTTGACTGAAATCTCCTGTACTGCCCTCTTGCTGGGCTTAGAAAACAAAGATCTGTCAGAGGGAAAGGTCAGTAAGAAATGTATTGTAGGTGTCCCCCTCCAAACACTTGCCAGGTTCTGATCCTGTTGTATGTAGGCAAGAGACTCAAAATTTCCTTTGAAAAGCACAAGGACACGCCTGAAAATTCAGACTAACTGAAGAGTCAGAGTGAAATCTTTTTCAGTGTTTGGGGCTTGGTTGATAATGTCCTGTCGGATGTAGAGGCCTGCATCAAACATAAGGCCACCAGCCTTTTCAGGATATTTACTGCCATTTGAAGATGTACAGGAAAGGGAGCTGAGTTCACATCTCCAAAGAGTTAAACTTTAATCTCCTGCAGTGGTTAAAGGGCTATATGTGGTGAGAGAGACAGAGAACAAGAGACCAGTTTCTTAATTAAAACCTTGGGATGGTCACAGCCCAGAAACGGTGATGAGCAGAAAGAAGAAAATGAGGTCTATCTACAAACCAAGCCAATAATAATTCAGTTAATAATTGAATTAATATAATCAGCACCTCATCCTTTCTGCCTGCAAGAAAAAGGAAAACCCTCCCCTGTGGAAACTGATGCCCCTTTTAATTTCTATGATCATTTATTCATATGCAAAGAGTCAGAAAGTACAATCAATAGTAAAAATTCACAAAATAAAACAGGCCTGTAGCAAATCTACATGTTGGAGTTAGAAAAATACTTCAAAAATGTGATTAATAGATGAAAAATCAATTTAAAAGTTAGAAAAATCATTTAAGATAAAATATTTTAAGATAAATTTAAATGAATAAAAACAGAAAAAATTGGATTTCTGAACACCCACAAACTCTGAAAAATTATTAATAAGACTTGATGAGGAAAATTTAAGAACATATCAGACAAAGCAGAAGGCAGGATTGGTAAACTCAAACACATCAATATAAATTGTCTAAACTAAAGCACAGAGAGAGGAAAAAGTAGGAATACATATCAGATCATAGGATACTTGTGGAACCCAATAAAATGGCGTAAAAGATAATGCAGTTAAAATTCCAGAAAAAAAGAGGAGAGGAGAGCATAGATAACTATCTTAAGGCATAGTGACTAAAACTTTTCTAAAACTGATGCGTGTTCAACAAACACATTCAAGGTTACAAGATCCCAAGACAAAAAATGCAGAGAAACTCACACACAGGCACCGCATGGTCAAAGGAACAGCAGTAAGAATTATGACAAACTATTTAAAGAAGCTATAAAAGCAGAGAAAATGGAATGATATAGTTAAAGTATGTTTAAAAAGTAAATATTTAAATTTCTCTACCTAGAAAAATATCTTCAAAAATACACAGAAAATGGAGATGTTATTGACAAAGTCCTTGAGAAATGTGAGATTCTATCAAACCGCAATGCAGGAAATACTGAAAGGTTTTTAAGTGAAATAAAATTATTTAAAATGGAAACAAAAGATAACAAAAAATAACACCCTATTTTTTCCTTCTACAAAACCCATTTTATTCAGGCATTTGACCCCTTTGATAACGCTTTCGTCAAGGTCACCGACAACCA